GCCCTTGTCCAGGCTGTGAACAAGAGGAAGCTGCAGCCCATCGCAGCCACCCGCACCCTGACACCTCCGGCAGTAAACAAGATAAAACAACTTCTTAAAGATAAGCCTGAATATGCAGGTGTGAAAGTTGGTTTACAAAACAGGGGTTGTAATGGCCTTTCTTATATTCTAGAATATACAAGGACAAAAGGAGATTCTGATGAGATCAGAGTGTCCATCGAAAAGAAAGCACACCTAACACTTTTAAGAGCAGAAGACTATGTTGAAGACAAGTTATCCAGTGAGTTTGTGTTCAATAACCCAAATGTCAAAGGAACGTCTGGCTGTGGAGAAAGCTTTAATATTTCACCCCTTTAGACTACTCTGGCTGTAAGCTCCAGGAAAGCCTATGGAAGCCCTAGGCTTACTGATGAAATCATTTGACTACCACATGCTTAATGTTTATAATGCATGGCTGCCTTATGAGGAAAATAAAGTGATGCATTTTGAAAATGAAGCCAGCATGATAGATTACAGAAGAACTGATATTTGTATTCTTTTTAGGGGAGAGAAAATGAGAGGCCATCACTCTATTGGGGTCATTTTTCTGTAAAGAGAAAAAAAATCCCATCCTGCACTTACTTCTCTTACATCTTTCCTGTTAGAACCAGGAAGGTGCCATGGAAGGTGCCTGCCTGAGAGGATTTGGGGAGACACATTCCTAATGGGTGTGCTGCACTCCATAGACTTCTGTTCAATGGCCTGAATGGGTATCTCCAGACCAGACTGATGGTTCTTAAAATTCAGAGGCAGAAAGTCCTGATGACTGATGTGACATGGTGGTCCATTGTTTTTCTACCCAAACTTGGCATGGCCTTTCTCCATTTTTATGCAAAATTTCATTGTCAGATGCCTCATTTGCTGATCTTTTAGTAGCACCAGCCATTAGATGAGAGTATCAAAGATTTCTGTGAACTACAATACAGAATGGTTCTGAATGATGGCATCAAAAGGTAAGAAATAACTTCACCCACCATTTTTCATCCATTTCCTTTGCCACCTTAGACATCTGCTCCAGGTGGGATCTCAAGCTGACTCAGATCCTTTTACATAAAAGGACTCACAGAATCCATCTAGCCCGCTCCCTCAATTCTATACCTGAGAAAGCAAAACCCTGCGGAAGTGGGAGGGCTTATGATCACCTGCACACTGCTGAGTGGGGACACTTCGCATCTCCCCTATGTAAGTTACACAGCAGCCTGGTGCTCAGGCAGGCCGTAAAGGTGAAAGGGCAGTCTCGTTGACGTTTCAATAAGATTTCTATGTAATTTTGCGGAGATCGCATTTTTATTTTATTTTAAGTGAGAAGAATCTTATTTTAAAACCCACTTATGCTGTTTCTTCTGAACTGTGAAGCAGTGGTTTATACTAGCAGTGAAGACATTGTAGCAACCCAGAGATCCCCTTCCGGAATGTAGTAGTAACTGTGAAGCAGAACATAGGGATCTTTTCCTAAATTTTCCAATATGCGTACACTTTCTGGATCCTAAGTTCCATTGCTAAAATTTTTAAGCTTAATATTTTAACCTAACATTTTTGTCATCAACTTTTCTTTAACAATGTTACTTTTGTCATTTAGTTATTGATATTTCCGGGTTTGACATAGTAAGTGTTTTATGAGATGACAGGCATTTTTTTGAAAACTGATTTCTATGAATTAAGTAGCTTAGTTCCTTGATGTTTGCCATATTTACTAAAATACCTGGCACAAAATGCACCAAAGCCTAGAGCAGTGTCTTTATGCTCATGACTTTTTATTAATATGATTATCCACTTATAATTTTGCAATACTGAATGTATATAGAGATTGAGTTGTCATTAAAAAAATGTGGCCTCTTTGTGATCATTAGAAAAAAGAGAGAGAGAGAGAGAGAGAGAGAGAGAGAGAGAGAGAGAGAGAGAGAGAGAACAAGAATTTGAAGCATGGAAAGAAAAAAATAAAAGCAGCCCAAACATTTGGTTACTGAAATCAACCAACACTTAAAGGCGCCTCAGTGGGGGAAGGCGCCCTACTTCTATGTTTCAGTCTTGTGGCTGGCAATCTGCTTATTCCAGATAGCCTTTGTTGAAGCAGATGCCTCTTTGTAGTGGATGCCTCGACAGTCAAAGCTTAATTTAGGCACTTGAATTACAGAAAGAAAAAACAATGGTCAGGGCATGCACTACAATTATTCATGTGTTAGTGGTGATGCTGGCACAAACGAACCTGTGTTAACAGTTGTTCTAAAAGCATAGCACGTGATTACAGCGGTAGGCTATACTAACCAGGTTTGTGTGAGTGCACTCGGTGATGTTCGCACAGTGACGAAATTGCCTATCACATTTCTCAGAATGTATCCCTGTTTTTAAGCAGCACATGATTGTAGGTGCTTTTGTATCCTCCTTATCTGCCCGACTCTTCCTCACCCTTCTTGTATCACCTTTTAGGCTTCATCTCTTCCATAAAACTTTTCCTGATCTTAATCTCATTGCCCTTTCTAGATGCTAACATAGCACTTGGTTCTCCTCTCATCATAGCACTTGACACATTAAATTATATAGCTTATTACTTATTTGTATCCCTTCTACACTATTAAATTCAATGAGGGCAGAAACCTTGTCTTTTCCTAAATTATATCTATCTCAGTGCCTAGCACGTTGTTTGGCACATCGTAGATACTCACAAACACATTTTGAAAGAGGGATTCTCTTCTAGGTCACTTCAAGAATCAAAGATTTTGTTTTGAAATTTACCTGGATTTTCAATTTAGCCACCCCAGGTGTGGTTGACATAAAATGTTTCCCAATCTTTCTCAGCATTGAATTCAGTACAAAAAGTGAATTAAAACTAAACATATTCAAATAGTCAAAATACACTGAATACAACTTTTCTCCAGATATGGGCTATATCTAAAGAATTGTTGAGAAATAAGAATGGTTTCATTCTGGAGCACAGACAGGACAAAAGATTTAGAGTAATATTTGGGTTGATAAAACGGGGACAATGATGAGACCACTCTAATGGATTTGTAAGCTTTACTTGGAGAACAGTGGGAAATATGGTTTAGTGGGTAGAGTAGGACTAGAATGTGCAGAATCTCATAATTCAGGCTCATCTAAGTGAATAACCTTTCTAAGAAGACATCAAAGACAAGTATAACATTCATCTGCAGAAATGTAAAAAAAAAAATAGAGCCTTAGCTTGCAGGCCATTCAAAAACAGGCAATGGAATGGCTTTGGCACAAATGAAGTTTATTGACTCTTGACTCAGAAGTTCACTAACAAGCTTTAGGATCTCTGATTACAAATCTTCTGTTGAATTAGCAGATTCTATGAATCACTGCATTTTTTTGTGTGTGGTAGCAGATCCTTGAGGTGGATTTCTGGAACCTCTCTACATAATGCTTTTTGAGATTAGAGACTTTCAGGGGTCAAAAATTGCAAGCTGGCTCTTTTAGGTCATGTGCAAAAAAATAACACTTCCCTTAATAAAACAAAATCTCATCACTCTATGAAGAATCTCTGATGGAAAACTGCTTCTAAAAGGAAGTGCAGCTCTACCTCATCTCCTCCACTCCCTCTTCTTTACTACACCTCACGACTTTTCACTCTGGACCCAAGGACTGTCCCGTCAGTCTGAGTCGAGAGTCAGCAAACTTCAATCCCTGTGCTGAAGCCATCCCACTGCCTGGTTTTGTATGGCCTGCAAACAAAAGAGTGTTTGGGATTTTTTTTTTATTTAACATTTTTAAACTGTTGTACAAAAATCAAATTCAAAAGAATAGTATTTTCGACATGTAAAATTCAAGTATCAGTGTCCACAAATGAAGTTTTATTGGCACATAGGCACGCTTATTTATGTATGTATTTCTATGGCTGGTTTTATGTTACAATGGCAAATTTGTGTAATTATGACAGAGAACAAACAGCCCACAAAGTCAAAAATATTTACCATCTGGCCTTTTAAGTAAAAGTTTGCCAATCTCTAGTCGAGAGCATGAATGTGCCTTTAGCACCTGAAACTTTATATGATTATGGACTATGTGTTGAATCAACTGTTGAGTGAATGAATGTGAAGCACATGGCTGGACACAAAGAAAGAATGAGGCTATAAGATTTCAACATTTCATTGAAAACTAAAAAATGAAGATTGTATTTTGTAGTTATTTTCTAGCAGGGTCATATTTACTAAAAATATCAACAAGCTACTAATCTCAAAACACTAGTGAAGTCAAAGCTGTCCTGAGCTGTAAAGTCGGGGGCAGAGGGAAGGGAGGCTCTGAGAAGTGCCCTACTGCACTCACAGCACACACTGCAGATGAATTAGTCAATGCTGGTGAGTAAGATCATATTCACTCACGAGCAAATATTAAATTAAGTGATAAATGGTAAATACAAGTATACTTAATGTCTCTTCCAACTTATAGAACAGATTTTTTTAAAAAAGTACAGATGACCCTTGAACAACAACATGGAGAGGTTAAACCTCCCTCTCCCCCTTTGGAGTCAAATATTTGTGCATAATTTTTGACTCCCCAAAATCTTAACTACAGTGGCCCTTTGTATCTTGGGGGTTCAACCAACCACGGATGGAAAACAGTATTTTTTTCCCACGTGAATCCACGGTTGGGAATCCACAGCTGGGAAAGCAAAAATACTGTTTTCTACCTGTTTGTTCAATCCGCGAATGTGAAATCTGAAAATAGGTAGGGCCAGCAGTATTTATTGAAAAAATCCACAATTAAAACCATGTTGTTCAAGGGTCAGCTGTATATTTGCTCACCTTAATGTTTCTCCCAATTTGTAAATTAGTAGTATTATGATCACAATCACACACACACACACACACACACACACACACACACACACAAACACAATCTTACTACTATTGGCAAGTCTCTCTATATTGTCTTTCAGAACAGAAGTAAATTGATTTCCAGTGCCTCCTCTGGCCTTCCTGTTGAAAGCAAAGAGTGTATGAAGAGGATTCCGATATGTCAGAGACTTCCTCCCATGACTCTTTCTATGATTCCCTATCAGACATTCAGGAAGAAAACAGGAATGCTGACTTCTTCCCTGGGCTATCAGCTTTTCTCAGCCAGGAAGAGATAAACAAGAGCCTTGACCTGGCACAGAGAGCTATAGCCAACTCTAAGACAGAAGATTTTGACTCAGAAAAGGAAATCTCACAGATTCTCAACACCACTCCTGTAAGACTCCGTGAAAATTCTTCCCGAAAGGAGACCAAATTGGGTGATCCTTCCTCCTCAGGAACACTTCCAGATAACAGACCAGAAGGAAAAATTGAGTGTATCTCCTCACCTGGTTCAAAGAGGAAGCCTACCATCTCGCCCCTGCTTGCCAGACCCAGCTATATCCGGAGCCTCCAGAAGGCTGAAAAACGTGATGCAAGAACTCCCAACACAAGTGTAAAGCCCAAACCAGCTTATCAAGGTACAGCTGGCCCCCAGAACCAGCTGTGTGACAAGGCAGCTAATCTCATAGAGGAGCTGACATCCATATTTAGAAGAGCAGCAAAGCCAAGAAACAGAAGCCCAAATGGCGAGTCCTCATCACCAGACAGTGGGTACCTGTCTCCAAAAAATCAGCCCTCAGCCCTGATGAGCGCCTCAGCCAGCCAGAGCCCTACCGAAGACCAACGAGAGATGGAGGAAGCGGAAAAGTTACCCAAGGCCAGGCGTTGCTATGGAGCAGACCAGGACGAAGCAGTGCCGCTCAATAGCATTTCTCGCCCACAGCCCCAGAATCCACTCTGCCTCCCATCAGCTCCTCGGTTCATCCAGAAGCTGAGGAGCCAAGAAGTGGCGGAAGGAAGTCAAGTTTATCTGGAGTGTAGAGTCACTGGAAACCCAACGCCTCGAATCAGGTCAGAATTGTTTATTACAAATATCGGATGATTCGTGTTGAGTTTTGTTTTTGTGTTAATGTGGGAAGAGAAGAGATTTCCTCTCCAGTTAGCCCTCTGAAGCCTCAGGTAGTGTTTTCAGGTACCTGCAAGGCAAAAGCATCCCAGAATTGCAAATACTAGTTGTTCTAGTTGTCCCTGGTGAGATATATTTGTTGTTATGAACCATGTAATACTGACTAAGGGGGGAAGCAAAGGACTGGACAGACATAGGGGAGCACAAACAGGTTGTTACATCAGACTCCGGAATTAATAACAGCCAGGGAAACTTAAAATGTACAACCGATTTATTCAAGATACAGTGAAAAATGCATGCGTAATTTGAATGTGAGTTGCCGAAGATGGCTGAAAGTGTGGCTAAATCTAAAAGTTTATCTGTCAGTACAGAGATGAAAAGTATGTAGAGGCCAACCACAGTAATAGCTGCTGAATACATAATCTGGTCTAAGGTATGGGCCCAATCAGCACATAGTCGCTTAAGGTAAGCACAGCGACATATCTTCAATGTGATGCAACCAAGGAGGGCAGAACTTTTCTAGCAAGGAAAGATAAACAGAACCAAGAAGGCAGCAGATCTGTTGTTCATACACTGGCTCTGGCCACTAGAGAATGCGTATGGCAAAAAAAAAAAAAAAAAATCACAATTAGATGAGTGTGTGATTAATCGGAGTCCGTAAACACTTACACCACCGTGTCCATTATGTCTATAAATTTGTCCTCCTTAATTGCCAAGTCTGCACCTTCTGTGCAGAAGGTTAAGAGGCATGACCCTGGAGTCAGATTGCGGGGTTTCCAATCACGTCTCCACCAACCAAGTCACCCAGGCCAGTTACTTTGTGACCCAGTTTGTTCACCTGTGAAATGGAAATCATAATCATACCTACCTCATACTTTTTTATGACGATGAAATAATACGTGAGAAAAAATCAAGTAGTGCCTTGCACGTAGGCATAATCATACCTACCTCATACTTTTTTATGACGATGAAATAATACGTGAGAAAAAATCAAGTGGTGCCTTGCACGTAGCGACTGGCATCACCTATTATTTTTATTATTTCTCCTCTCTTAATTTCAAATGCCAAAATGGAAATAACATTCCAAGTCAGGATTATACTATAAAAAACTTTTTAAAGTTAAACCATTTTTTAAAGTTTTGCTTTTTATTAATGAAGATTGCGTTGCCTAAGTTACATAAATATAAAAAAGGAAATTTAAAATTGTGAAATTTAGAAAAATGATAAAGTAGACATCATTGGCTGGTACTTTTTATTAATATAGCATTTCACAAATCACAGACTTTACTCCTCACCCTATATCCACTAATACACACTTTTCTAGACTTGGTTTCTTAGTTTGATAAATCATTGCTCACAAACATGGAGTAAGCATTGGTGTTACTGGCTGAAAAGTGGCGTAATTAGAGGCAGTGAATTTTTTCCCCGACCAATTTGTTCAACTAAATTACCTTAAGTCAGTTTTTATAGTAATTTTACTATATTTATTTTAGAAACTGACAGTAGGGGGCAGTAAAAAACTTCTTAATGGGTTCATTTAATTAGATATGTCATCCTACATTCCTCATATATATCTTCTCCATAAAGAATTTTCCTTATAGTTTTGCCCATGATCAAAATAAAATTGAGCATTTGTTTTAGGTTTCATTTAAATTTTTTAAAAACCCACTAATCTTAGGGACAAATCATTCCTTATTAGAAATATATTCACGTTTTGCTCAAACAATTCCGCAGGTTTTCAAACTACGTTTGGCTCCACTTACATTTACCTCCAAAATAGACCCCTACCAAATGTATTATTGTGGCAAGTGAGTATACCATACCCTTTCAAAAATTACAAAAATTGGTCCATTTAACACCAAAGAGTTAATTTAGGGGGGCAGATTGATACTTTTGTATCAAAGTTCACATAACCATTTGGTCATTTGTGGGGCCATCAAATTCATGTTTCTGCCTCTTTTCTTTTTATGGAGGGAGCAGATCATTAATTTAGTTAGCAGCTACAGAATTATTAACTAGTTTTTTCTTGTCATCTCCCAGTCTACCAAAGCTTATAACCAATACCTATTAGTCATTACAAGCTGTACTCTTCTAAAGTAATTGTCTTTGGTAAGAATGCTTCATTCTTTAAAATTAGCTGGTCATTTTTGTATTCTTTTGAGTTTTTGTTTTGTTTTGTTTTAGAGAGGCAAAATAAATATGCGCTGGATTTCTTAATTTGTATTCTAAAGATTCTGGTCCCCTCTGCCATGCACTTGTAAGTGCGCAAAATGCCAAAGGACATTCATTGAGCTCCTTTCCCACATGAGACATTTCACAGTCTAAAGAGGGAATTTTCTTTGAAGGGAATTTTTTTTTTATTAAATTTGTTGGTGACATTAGTTAAGGTGTGATGCAATTGCCAATGGTAATGACCATGCTTACTTAAACAAATGCACCACAGGAAAATATGGCAGCAAGTATCGGGGCCTTGGGCACAGAGAGAAAATTCCACCCTTCAAGAGTTTAGTTAAGAAAAAGGCAAAGTTACTGCTTCAAAAGGACGGGAAAGAAAGAGCATGAAACGGAGACGCAGACGAGATTAAACATGGCAAGACTTTAGTGACTAAACTTGTGCCGGGTCCAGAATGGGGAAAGGAAGTGCTAGACTGACATGGCTAGGCTACTAAGCTGCTGGCCTGGAGCTTTTTAAATTTGGCCTAAATAGAAACCATTTGGTTTGGGAACCTGCACATAGTGAAACTTACAGATGTAGATAAAGGAGCCCCAGCTAAAGGGAGGATTGATGGAAACAGTAGGCCCAAAGCCAGGCCAGTCGTTTCAAGACATTTCTACTTTAAATAGAATCACTTAACTCTCCCACAAATATAACTGGCACAAATACCAGTCATAACCACAAATAAAACTAAAAAAGAAATGCTATTTTCCTCCTGTACTCTTGCATAGTTCCAACAAAAACTCAAATTATACTATAAGGTAAATATAAACATACTCATAAGAAAAAAAGCACTTTTTTAAACACCCACTTAAAAATGGAATTCAGCAATAGTCTAAGCATGTTTAATATTTAAGTGCAATTGCTCATATCTAACCATAAGATGCCCATTAGGTCATCATTTTAGCATAGGAAGTTTCAATTAATGTATGTAATTAAAAATAATTAAATTCTTTCTTTTTATAATCAAAACCCAGCACTTCCAATGCCTCCAATTAGTTTAAATTAGCAAGACTTTGGTCATCATCAAAAGCCAAAACAAGAGGATTTAGCCTAACAAAAATGTGCAATGCTGTCTGTAAAACTTTCCATCTCCTCAAAAGAAAATAGATATATAAATAAGCCACTGATTCACTTTTCTTACTAAGGACATGTGGTATATCCCATTTATGGACCACTTTGGTTCAGGAAAAAATGGCAATGGTACCACCAGCCAGTAGGTTATAAATATGCAGTGCTTATAAAATTAAAAGTCAGGTGACTTAGCCAGGAGTATTGTTGTTGTTAAAAAATGTTATCGACAATGAGACACCAGATAGTATAGTCAGATTACCAATATGAAAAAATGACAATACAAGTATTGTTACTTTAACATGAAATGTAATTAGGTATAAACAATTTGGGGAACAATTTTGTGATATACGATAAAGTTAAAGATGTACATACCCTAAACTTTTATGTAATATCCAATTGTCTGCTTGACATCTGTACTTGAACACCTAATAAGTATATCACATCTAAAACTGAACTTCTGATTCTTCTTTCCTCCAAAAACCTTCTCTTTCTAAATCTTCTCCATGTCAACAAATGACAATCCTTTTTCCAGCTATTCAAGGAAAAAACCTAGGAGTCAAGGGAGTTCTCTTTTTCTCACACCTCACATCATCCAATTCATCCAGCAAATCCAGGTGGCTCTAACTTTAATATATCCAGAATCTGATCACTTCACACCACCTCCACTAATGAGGCTTTGGTCCAAGCCACCATCATCTTTCATTTGGTTATTTGCAGTCCTTCCTAATCTGCATTCCTTGTGTCTGTCTTTGCTCATTACAGTCTGTCTATACAGCACCCAGCATGATTTTTTTTTTAATGAAATTGTGATTACCACACAGTACAAAGCTATCCAGCGCCTTCTCATCTCACTCAGAGTAAAATATATAGTCTTTATACACATCAATAAAGCCCCATCTCTCTGATTTCATCACCTACTACTCACCCCTGCTTAGTCCACTCCAGCCACAATGGTGTCCTTGCTATACTCCAAAATGCCGGGCATGTTCCTGTCTTAGGACCTGCACACCTGCTGTTCCCTCCACTTAAAATGCTCTTCCTCCAGATAGATGCAGAATTGACTCCTTCATCTCCTTCATCTCTCTCCTTAAAAGTCACCTTCAAAATATGGCCTTCCATAACTACCCTATATAAAAGTACAGGTCCTGCCCGCCACATTCTCTATTCCACTTTTATTTTGTTTTGCTCCATGGAATTTATCTGGTAACACTCTACATTTTACTTATTTCATTTTCTTTTTATTGTCTTTCTCCCTCAGTACACTATAAAAACTTTGAATATAGGAACTTCCATTTGACTCTTGCTGTTGTGTCTTCTGGGCCTAGAATGATGGCTGATATGTAATAGATGCTCAATAAATACATATTGAATAAATAAATGAATAAATTCCACTCCTGGGTGTATACCTGGAAGAAACTTTTGCTCACGTGTACCAGGATACATGTATAGGAATGCTCATAGCAGCATTGTTTCGAAGAAACTGTAAAGAACCTCAATATTCATCAAAAAGAAAATGGATATCTCTTTGAGATAATGACTTCATTTCCTTTGGCTGTATACCCAGATGTGGGATTGCTGGATCACATGGTAGTTCTATTTTTAATTTTTTGAGGAACCTCCATACTGTTTCCATAGTGGCTGTTTCAATTTACATTT